AGTCACAGATTTAAAGTAAGCCTATTTGCAAATTGACCAAGCGATTTGTCATCGCGTCTGTTTCAACTACTACAGCTCTTTCTATTTACATATCCAGATCCGTAACAATTTAAAACTGTTGCTTAGAGCTGACTGTGACAAAAGGAGGTAAATGTAACTATGTGGAAGCAAAGTAAGCATTTTGAACTCAGCAGGCATTCCATACTTACTGTACTTTGACATGAAAATCTCGATCTAATTGTGCACACTTCGAAGGTGCAATGCAATCAACTTGAAAAGGAATTCTGAAATTTGAAGTAATCAAACCTATTTGCATTAATTCGCAGATATCCCCAGGTTGTGACACCATGTGCTTTTGGCCCCTTGAGGACGCTTTGTAACATCATCTTTGCAAATCATTTCCTACAGTTGCCCTTGTCCCACGCTCGCCACTTCAACTGACCTCGATTACATTGGCAGTCGACGTCTTCATACCCAACACATCCGTCAAGTACCTGAATTACAGGACTAGTGCGGAGAACCTGAGGACTCGGGACAGTGAGCACCTCGAAAAAAGACTTGAAATTCAGCAAATGGTGAGCCACCGGTTTTCGTTGAATTCTGAAATTCGGAATACATCTGACCATTTCTTGTGGCTCACTTCGTCCTGACGTATTTTGCACTCCTTGTGCAGAATGAGTTGGCAAAATTGTGCAGAATGAGTTGGCAAAATTGTGCTAAGCGTTACTTTGCGGAAAACAACCTCTATAATTAGGTTTTGAAATAGTTAGTTCCATGGATATTGGTTCAGCCTGATTATAAAATGACCAACTTCATAACCATTCTGACATTTAATATTGTTTAGTTTCTAAGATCTATAAACTGGAATTGGAATTAGCATCCGAGGTGGGATACCTATGATTTACACCGTAAATTCTTTGGGATGTTCCATCTTGGGACCTAATTTATTTTTTTACAGGACACGACACATTGATACTGTTTGCTGAAGGTGTCCATGTGATATGAGGGTAGTTCACTATACAAAATTATTCCACGAATTGTTCCTTTGGAAGGATGGAAATCTCTAGAACCAATCAATTGGCTCAAAAACACACACACATCGCCCAATCTCTTTTTGTAGTTCGGCGTTTCAGTCTATGCAGCGCGAGGTGGAGTTCTGTCGGAGGCAGCAACCCAGATCCTGGAAATCTTCGTCGTCCCACTTATTACCAACTCCACAACAATCATGGTCAAAGCAACTTCCGATGCCTTCTTTGAAGGTGTCTACCCTGTGCGTGCTCATGTCTGGGGTATGGACAAGGATATAACAGTAGAACAGAACAGCAAACCGGTTTTGACTCGAAGAAAGTGCGTGTGACTCCCACATTAATTTGAAATGTGCTTGTAAATCAAAGTAGCATTTAGGATTTGCTGAGCGG